GGGTCTAGGCCCGAAACGTCAGCCTTCCTGCTCCTGTGAGGCTGCTTGGCCTGCTGTGTTCATCCAGCTCTACACCTTGTTATCTCAGATTCTCCAGCATCTGCAGTTCCTACTATCTCCTATTCAACCCAGCTAGTCCATTTAACTTCCATTTGCACATACTGCCATATTTCCATTTTTAAATTAACCACAAAAAAGATCATCAGAAATAGAAACAGGAAGAGGCAATTCAAGCGTTTGAGCTGTTCTGGCACTCAGTATGATTGTAGCTGATTTCACTTTCCTGTCTATCTGTTACCCTTGCTTCCCAATACAAACAATAATCTGTCTCCCTCAGCCTCAAATATGTATAATGACCCAATCTCAACTGCTCAATGGGGAAGAGAATTCCAAGTTTGAAAACACTCTGGAAAAAAATAACATCCTCAGCTCCGTATAAATAAGCTCCCTCAGAATCTGACAGATTCAAATAAGTTCATCTCCTGTTCTTCTAAGTTTCAGTAACAACAGGCCCAACCTGTACAGCCATTCCTCAGAAGACAACACCTTGTTATTGGAATTAACTGAGTGAACTCTTCCTGAACTGTTTCCAATACACATTATATAATTCTTTGGTAATTCGATAAAAACTGTAAACTATACTCCAAGTGTGGTTCCATGAAGACTCTGCACAGATGTAGTCATACTTGCTGACTTTTTGCTATATTCCCCTTGCAATAAAGGCAAACACTCTATTTGCCTTTTTGACCACTTGCTGTCACTGCATGCTTGCTTTTTGTGATTCATATACTTGAACACCCAGATCCATCTAGACCACAGATTGCTGCAGTATCTCCATTTAAATAACATTCTGCTCTTCTTTCTTTACTGCCAAAATGCAAGTCTTAAACAAAAGAATAGACAAAAATTGAACATGATGACAAATGGATGTGCAACTTCCCCACCTGAATTATTTCTGCTAGTCACTATAATCAGTAGAAAAATATCCTGTGATTAATTTTGATATTCTGCTGGTAGTTATTGAGATTTAGCCCTAAAATCACTCTTAGATGTTTTGTTATAGCTTTGACACCTCATGAGTCATGGAGTTATAGAGATGTATAGCACAGAAAAATGCCCTTTGACCCATTGAGTTTCAAGTATAAACAACAGAAACTATTGACGCAAAACACTCAAATTGAATTTTCATAAAATGTTAGTATTAATATAAGTATTAAAATACGTTTATCCTTATCACTGTGTTTACCCAATATGATTTTTAAAAATACAGCAAGGAGCATTCAGTAGAATTAAAAACTTCCACAGCATGGAGTAAAAGTACAAAGTTAATGTTGAATTACATTTTTCAGTGACTGGCCCTTGAGAGACTTTGCTAAGGTGAGTTATTATGGTAACCTGGAAATTATCTTTGCTCAGTGAAACATGAATGAAAGTATTCTACAAGGAATCTATGTAACAGAAACTTGAGGGCAAATTTTAACTTCCCTCACTTGCTGGAAACCAGGCAGAGCACAGGTTAAGAGACAGCAAGAACTGCCAATGCAGGAGTCAGAGACAACACACAGTATGGAGCTGGATGAACACAGCATCAGAGGAGCAGGAAAGTTGACCTTTAGGGTCAGGACCCTTCTTTAGAAATGGGGAGGGGGAAGGTTACTCGGAAATAAATAGAGAGAGGAGGGGTGAGGCTGGGGAAGGTAGGTGTGATGGTGATAGGTGAGTGTAGGTAGGGAGTGGTGGGGATTGGTCAGTGGGATGGATGGGACGAATAGGTGGGAGAGAAGATGGACAGGTTGTGTCAGGTCAAGGAGGCGGGAATGAGAGGGAGGGTTGGGCATGGAATGAGGCCAGGGGTTGGGGAGATTTTAAAACTGGTGAATTCTATGTTTAGGCCATCAGGATGTAGGCTCCCAAGGCAGAATATGAGGTGCTGCTCCTCCAGTTTGTGGGTGGTGTCATTGTGGCACTGGAGGAGGCCCAGGATGGACATGCCATTCAGGGAGTGGGAGGAGCAGTTAAAATTGTTAGCAACCGGAAGGTGTTGTTGTTTGTCGCATACAGAGCGCAGATGCTCCATGAAACGGTCTCCGAGTCTATGCTTGGTCTCACCGATGTACAGGAGGCTACATCGGGAGCAGCAGAAACAGTAAACCAAGTTGGCGGATGTGCAGGTGAACCCATGTGTAATGTGGAAAGTTTGCTTTGGGCCTTGGATAGAGGTGAGGGGGGAGGTGTAGGGGCAGGTGTAGCACTTCCTGCGGTTGCAGGGAAACGTGCCGGCTGTGGTGGGGTTAGTGGGGAGTGTGGAGCAGACAAGAGAGTCACAGAGAGAGCAGTCCCTAAGAAAGGCAGATAGGGATGGGATGGGAAATATCTTTTTGGTGGTGGGGTCGGATTGTAGGTGGCGGAAGTGGCGGAGAATGATGCGCTGAATGCGAGGGTTGGTGGGGTGGTATGTGAGGACAAGGAGGATTCTGTCTTTATTTTTGTTGGGAGAGGGAGTTTGAGTGCAGAAGTGTGGGAAATGCAAGAGATGTGGTAGAGGGCATTTTTGATCACTGGAGGGGGCAAGTTGCAATCCTTGAAATAGGAGGACATCCAGGATGTTCGGGAGTGGAACTCTCCATCTTGGGAGCAGAGGCGGTGGAGGTGGAGGAATTGGGAGTAGGGGATCACATTCTTGCAGGAGGGTGGGTGAGAGGAGGTATAATCCAGGTAGCTACAGGAGTTAGTGGGCTTGAAATAGATTCAGTTTCAAGGCGGTTACCAGAGATGGAGACAGAGAGGTCCAGGAAGGAGAGGGAGGTATCGGAGGTGGTCCAGGTGAATTTGAGGTTGGGGTGAAAGGTGTTTGTAAAAGTTGATGAACTGTTCAAGCTCCTTGTGGGAGCATGAGGCAGTGCCGATACAGTCATCGATGTAGCGGAGGAAGAGTTGGGCGATTGTGCCAGTGTAACAGTAGAAGAGGGACTGTTCCATGTATCCTACGAAGAGACAGATATAGCTTGGGCCCATGTGGGTGCCCATGGCCACCCCCTTTGTAGGAAGTGGGAGGAGTTGAAGGAGAAGTTGTTAATGGTAAGGATGAGTTTGGTTAAGCAGATGAGGGTGTGTGTGGATGGGGACTGGTTGGGCCTGCAGGAGAGAAAGAAGCAGAGGGTTTTTAGGCCACCTGTGTGGGATACAAGTGTACAGGGATCGGATGTCCATAGTGAAGATGAGGTGTTGGGGGCCAGGAAATTGGAAGTCTTGGAGGAGGTGGAGGGTGTGGGTGGTGTCCTGGAAGTAGGTGGGGAGTTCCTGGACCGGGGTAAAAGACAGAGTCAAAGTAAGCAGAGATAAATTCAGTGGGGCAGGAGCAGACAGAGACAATGGGTCGGCCGGGACAGTCGGGTTTGTGGATTTTGGGGAGGAGATAGAAACGGATGGTGCCAGGTTGGGGAACGATGAAGTTGGAGGCTGTGGTTGGGAGGACACCTGAATTGATGAGGTTATGAATGGTCTGAGAGATGATGGTTTGGTGATTAGGGGTGGGGTCATAATTGAGGGAGCAGTCGTAGGGGGAGGCGTCAGTGAGTTGGCACCTGGCCTCGGCGATGTAAAGGTTCAGTGTCCCAGACCACCACTGCACCTCCTTTATCTGCGGGTTTGATGGTGAGGTTAGGGTTGGAGTGGAGGGAGCGGAGGGCTACACGTTCTGTGGGGCAGAGGTTGGAGTGAGTGAGAGGGGTGGAGAGGTTGAGGCGATTGATGTTGCGATGGCAGTTGGAGATGAAGAGGTCGAGGGAGGGTAGGAGGCCTTGGGGTGGTGTCCAGGAGGATGGGGGCTATGCTGGAGATGGGAGAAGGAGTCTGTAGAGCGTGGGTTAGACTCGCGATTAAAGAAGTAAGTGTGGAGGTGGAAGCGGCAGAAAAACTGTTCGACGTCCAAACGTGAACAGAATTCATTGATGTGTGGGCGGAGGGGAATGAAGGTGAGTCCTTTACTGAGGACTGACCGTTCATTCTCAGTGAGGGGGAGGTCTGGGGGGATGGTGAAGGCCCGGCAGGGTTTGTGGCTGGAGCTGGGTGTGGGAATGGAGACTGTCTCAGGAGTAGAAATGACGGGGTGGTGGTGGCAGAAGCCTGGGTGACATGTCTATCCTGGGCCTCCTCCAGTGCCACGATGACACCACACGCAAACTGGAGGAGCAGCACCTCATATTTCACCTCAGGAGCCTATAGCCCGATGACCTAAACATGGAATTCACTAATTTTAAAATCTTCCCACCCCCGGCCTCATCCCTTGTCCAACCCTCCCTCCCGTCCCCGCCTCCTTGACCTGACACAACCTGTCCATCTTCCCTCCCACCCATCCGCCCCATCCATCCCACTGACCAATCCCCACCACTCCCTACCTGCACTCACCTATCACAATCGCACCAACCTTCCCCAGCCCCACCCCTCCTCTCTGTTTATTTCTGAGCTCGCTTCCTCCTCCACATTTCTGAAGAAGGGTCCTGACCCGAAACGTCAACTTTCCCGTTCCTCTGCTGCTGCTTGGCCTGCTGTGTTCCTCCAGCTCCACAGAGCAAAGGTTAAATTGGAGTGTGTCAATATTCTGTTCCATTTCCACCTCACAATGATTTCTATGCCACTGTATTTTTTAGCTAGCTGCATTATCTTGCACATTTGTACACATTAAAATTCTAAGACATATGTAGAGCATCAAAGACATTTTAAATGCGAGTTGAACAGAGTACCCAAAAATGAGACTTAAAACATAGCTGCATATTTTAAATGTGCTGCATGCTAGAAATCATTTTCGCACACAATGCAAGATTGTAAATGAAAATTAGAAATATTCAATTTAGTGTTACATTTAAGTTACAAATGTTTTAATATCAGCTATATGTAATATTGATACTCCTGAATATATAGAATGTGAAGGGATGGGAAGTGGAATTGCATCCATACATCTAAATTTAACAGGGAATAAATCCAAAGGACTGGTGAGCAGAGATTGCAGTGTTTATTTTCAAAGAAGGGTAGAACTAATCCAGTAAACTATCAACCTGTTATCTTGTTATCGGCAGTAGGAAGGACACTTGAATCTTTTCTAGAACGTGAGATAACAAACAGCAGAGACCAAAATATATTCTTTTAAAAAATAGATATGGAGACTGCATGGCAAATTTTCAGAGTTGGGCTGGTTCTGGAGGTTTTAAAAATTGCTGGTGGAACCTGTATGCAGAGGTCTCAACTCCACATCTGAACAATTCCATTTTTGCCATCAGAGAAAGGGGGATTGAATATAAATTGCACAAGCGGGAAACCTGATCTTAGTTGGGCCACTTGAAATTAATGTTGAATTCAAACAGGCCCCATTTTCATTGTTGCAAGATTATCAAGTACAGTCCTGGAGTCAGAAATGTGGGGAAGTTATGTCAGAGTTTTGAAATAATTCCACAGAGGTTGGTATCTCATCACCAAGTTACCCTTTATTTACATATGCATTGTACTTGACACTAGTTCGGCTTCCTCAGAGCCAGCTCTGATTGTTCACAACCTCTGACCGTCGTGTTTATATCTGTCAGCCAGGGCTCCCTGATTGGGGCTGTTAACCTGGTCCAATCAGGGAACTCATTCAATGATGGTCACCTGGCTGACCTCATCACAGGTTTGTAAACGATAGATAAGGTCTGTTTATGTTTTGAAATTATTTAAAGCAACAGCTATTTAAAAATGAAATAAAAAGTAAGATGCAGTGCCAGTTAGAGTTAAAAATAAACAGACTACTGCTGCTAGAGTACATTGACTTACAGGCCATCTGGTGTAGCTTAGGACAGAAAAAGCCATCTGTTCTGTAGTTTCAAGATATTCATTATTGATGTTTCCGAAGGAACATAATTACAGCTGAGCCCATGATGACTATTGGTCTGAGTTTCGCAGGGTTTAAAACTGCTTATCTCCGCAGTGGTGGATTACTAATATGCATTTTGACAGTTTTGAGATGCTATTAAAGGATTAATCATCTTCAATGTGGTTAGTGAGTAGAAACTTTATTTTTACAAAAGCTTTACCACTTCAGGTAATCCAAAATATTTGACAGTGTTTAGGGGCTTTTTTTGCAGTTTGTAAATATAAGGATCATCTTAGATTGTTAGAAGTTTTATTTTCTTACATCACCATATGGATCCTGACATCTACCCTTAGTAGAGTCTGGATGAGTGGCAGTGAAGTTGGCAAAGGAGATATGAGTGAGCATGGTGGTTGACAAGGGAGTTATAATAGAGCACAGCGGTGGCCTGGAATAATGAGCAGACATGGAAGTGACATGAGGTTGTTCATCAGAGAAACAGTGCAGAGGCATTGATGGAAGTGTTATTGACTGCAGCCAGGTTGAGCAGGATGAGGAGAGAATTTGTCAGAGTAAGGCAGGGAGAATTTCATTTATGATTTTGATAAGGGAGATTTTGGTAATGTGTTGCATGCAGAGACCATATTGGAGATTCAGACACCATTCCGACAAAGATGAGAATGGATTTGACGGCCAATAGTACATTTAAGGACCTTTGTAGAAGAATAGGAGGGTGGAGAGAGTTGTGACAAGGCAGAGGAATCAAGGGTGGGTCTGCTCATGTGAGGTGCATTAATGACAGATTTGATTAAAAGGGAAGCTGTACCTGAAGCACAGAAAAGACAAAAACAGAAGGGATCAAAGAATCTGTGGTGGCTTGAGTGAACTGTAAACACTGGCATAGAGCAGCTGGGCTAAGTGGCCTATTTCTGTAAGATCTATGTTACTTTCTGTAATCTCAAGTGTGTCATCTAGTGGAGATTCCATAAACAGCATAGCTATTTAGCCAGAGGTATGAGAGAGAATGAGTCATGCCTTGTTCCTCTTTTGTGCCTCCTTGAAGGGGTGAAGACCCTGGCACATGATATCGCAATTCCTTTGACTGTGCCCAGGAGAAAGGAAAATAATCACTTCAGAAGTGGGGGAAAGGAATAAAGATTATTAGTGCTCATATCACTCTTGTCTTTTCTTAATCCATTGCATAAACATTATTGTACAACATAGACTACATCATAACAGTCAGGAATGACCATAAGTGACATGGTTAAAATGTTTCATTGTGAAAAATGTCTGGTAATACTCTTCATATTTAACAATCTATCCTTATAAACTCTTGCTGACAATTTGGTTGCCCCATTCCTGGCTCTAATCTTTTGTCTGCCTTCCTCAGTAGCTGTCATTATTTCTCTTGCTTACTGGAAGCATCACTTTAAATAACATTTCTCAGATCATGAAATGACATCAGTCTGTCACACAACTTTCTCTTGATGTGGATTGTTAGATCCCAGTTGCTCCTTTAAATCTCCCTAAACGTTTTGACCGCTGGTATTGGGATCCAGAAGAAGAACGCAAGCGTCAGGAAAGATGGCAGAAAGAGCAGGAACGCTTGCTCCAGGTACATTAACACAACTTGCATTGACCCTCTGCTACCAAGTGCTGTTGTTTTGCTGCTGCTTTTCTCATAGGTTTGGGTAGATATGGTGCACCCTCCTTATGGCCCTTAACACTAATCCTTCCTCAATGCTTTTTCCATAAATGTAGTTCTGATTAGCCAATTAGAAGATGGTAATGAAAGAGATGCAGTGTTTCATTGTTCTACTGAGCAGATCAGAACCACAAAAAAATTGACGTGAAAATGACTGATAGAATTGCTACAGTAGGAAGCAAATTACTGGAATGTAATAAAATATATTTCTGGAAATCTGATTCTGGTATAAATTTTATTGAGTTAAAATTGATACTACTTGCAATCATGCAATCATTAACCTATTAAATCCAGCCCAGCTGCTCCAGGGCAATTGACTCAAATTTGAAAGCTTTTATTAATGTTCTAACTCATGACTTCCCTGAGATAAAGTGACACTTGTATTGACTCTCCATGAGGCCTAGTGAGTTTTCTTGCACTACTGTCCCAAACTTGCCTCATTAATCATGCACCAGGCATCTATAGCACCTTGTTCTTCTGATGCTAGCCTACTGTACCACTCGCTATAAGTGGAACAGGAAAAAAAAAACCCTGACTCCACCTACTCTTGATGTGGTCACTGCCATTTACCATTCACAGTTTGCATTTAGGAGTTGAGTGAATATATAAAGAGCCAAAGCCACGATTTGGACAATGAGTCACAGGTTCAGCCTAGTCATCGTAAGCAGGCCCCCTCACGACACAAACCTTCCTGTTTCTTTCTATTAACACTCCCGCTTTGCCCCATCAGTACCTTTCCCTCACATGTTCTGACACACCACATGAAATTACAACTGCAACTCTCATCCTCCCCCCCACCGAGCCCCATCCCTACAGTTTACTCAGCCCATCACTGTCATGTTCACCCACCATCACGGCCACTGTAGTGTTGAAAATCTATAATTTCCACTCACAACCCTTCCTAAAGTATCCCATTGTCATCTCATGTGCCCCCGCCCCACCTTGTATGTTACGTTTCCTCCCCTTTCCATCCGTTGCCTTCTGTATCACGAGTTACTGCTTCCAATCCCCAGCAGTGGATTCCCCCATTTTCTTAACACAGCAATATCTCTTGATATTCCCTTCACTGCCTTTCCAATCATCCCCAGACTTAGTGTGGCTCATCTCACAAGTGGCTTGAACAGACAGTCATGACTATTCACGGGACTAGACCCCTGATCCATCCTAAATGATGTTCTGTGAATCCCCTCACTGTCTGCACTGGCCGTGCAGGAGTAAGAATGGCCTTCTCCCCAGTCTTCAGTTAGACAGAGTTCCCTGACACTGACTGACCCAAGCAGACAAATGATCATTCCCAGCCTCTTGAACTCTGAACAGATGATGTTGTGACTGACTGTACCATGTCTCCCTGACTGACAGCAACCACCGGCCCTACCCCCACCTTGACTGAGGACTACTTCACTTCAGCGTTGAGACCTGTCCATTGGTTGATGCACATGGAGTGCGTTTGCCATGTGAGCTGTTGGCTGAAGCTGAGAGATTGACTTAGCACAGTGCTACAGAGCAACAAGTCCAATCCCTGGACTTATGACGGTGGACATCCACGACAAACTTCTGGCTTTGGCAGGGCAGAAGTCCTGTGAATCTTCAAGCTCCAGCTGACAGGTGCAAAGCTCAAAAAGGCAAAGTAAGTGTGCTGTGTGCATTGAGTATCTGCAATGTGCCACGATGACCCACTGAAGTTGGCATGTGTTGGGTGCCAACTATCATGGATGTGGGATGTGCACATCCACATTTCTTGTGGAGTGTACCCTGAGCTGCTGGTGCCAGATGTCTAAGATGGAGATCCAGAGGAGCAAGCAGCAAGCTGGAGTTGCCAGGTAACCTCTAACATTCGTGTCAGGAATTCAAGGTATCTCGCTTCTATCTGGCAGCTGGGAGAAAAGGAAACTGCATATTAATGAGGCCTAAGTAATTTAGTCATGATGATGCTATTAATGAGTGTTAATCTGTGCAAATAAACCTCTCACCACTCAGTAGCAAGAATTTCAACACCTGGTTGAAATTGAGACTTTTTTTGCACTCGATGTTAAAAAAATTCCTCCTGAGACGTCTCTCCCAATTTTCCCATCTTCATTCACCATGTTGTTCAGGGCCTGGGAAGATTCCACTCGTTGCTAATAGTACAGAGCTGTGCTGTCCATAAATACAAAACTTCACTGTAACGGTAATTTACTGACTACTGTAGTAACTTGCATTTATAAATATATAGGGAGGTGAATGACTAGTTTTCTTAAAAAAAATGAAAAAGGCTGACAGCACTGCTTCAGTAGGAAAGATACTTTGTATTGTGTGAGGTGATGCAAACTGTGGCAGCTGTAATTGTGACTTTCTGCATGATCTTAGTTTCTTTTCATTGTTGCATAAAATGTATCTGTTTTTGTCGATCATGTAGTCACCATCTTTGCTTAATACTTCCTTAAAGCGATGTGTATGTGTGGTGTGCCTGTCAGTGCAAGTAGTTAAACAATCTAATCTGTGAAGCCAGCTGATGGAGCATATTTCCCATGATATTCACAGTCTCCAATCAACATAAATGTCTGCATGTGTTTTGCTGGACATGTTAGCTCAACACTGTCAGAAGTAAAAGTTACTAGACATAGTTGACAGAGAGAGGGACGTACTGTGGAGTGTCTTAATCAACTATACAAAGCAACTGCCTTGCATCCCTTAGTGAGAGCTAAATAATTGCTCCTGACTTTCAGCAGGGATGGTGACATGGTTAACAATAACATGTGATGCTTTGCCAAATCCCCAATCATCATTGCATTAGTGTGACCTCTGGGCTAAGGGCTTGTGAAAATTGAATCTAAGTTAGAATAGTTAAATCCTTGGCTTTCTTAACTTTCACCTAGGCTGCTTGAATTAAACTTTTAGCAATATTATAAATATACATTGATCATGTATTACACTTGTTTAAATTAATTGGTTGATTCTTCACCTAGTTGACTCTCATCTGCAGTCTGATTGGCTCTCATCAGGCAAGTTCACAGTGTTGTGTAAAATCAAAACGTAGAGAAACTATCAGCGGTTCATAAATGAAGTCTTGGCACCAGCTTCCTAGAGTAACTAGGGTGGAGCAGTAACTGTTGACCTTGGCCTGAAAGTGGAGAGGAATATAGAGTAATTATCTATCTGAACATATAAGCCTCAACTACGATGGTGTGGTCAGAATCTTTAGAGGTACTAGTTCTGGAGAGGATACCCCAAATCATTCACCAATATGGGACAATAATTGTCATCCTAATATCTATAAATATTTTTAAAGCATATTCTAGAGACAGTTTACCTGATGGAGTTTAGGACTATTGAAGGGAGAACAAAGATGTGAAAAAGAAAAATGGAACAAGAAACTCCCAACAATGAACCGTGGTAACTCCGTATCTGATGTATGTATAATGATACTCATCATGCTGGAGGAAGGAGAAGTTGGCCAGCATTTGTATTCATGCATACTATCCAGTAACTCCTCCGTATGCAAGATCAAGCTGAAGTTTTCTAGAATACTCAATGGTTTAGGTTTCTATTTGTAGAATGCATGTTTTACTCAGGGACAAAGGGCAATTGGTACAGATGAAATACTTTAGGAGTCCAAGTGTGAAGTTGAGGGAGTTAGGATTGATTCATCACTTACAAACTTTGCAAAAGATGCTAACTCTCCACCCCTCCTATGAGTGCATTACAACATCAAGCCCCTGCCTTCATTGAATATTCATGTGTGAATGTTGCTGGCACAAATGAGGCATTTTTGGAAATTCTATCTCATTTACTCTAACAGGGCCTTAATTACTATAGACAACACTAGTCTGTCTTTCTGCAAAAATATCGTAGTCATACAAGTAGCCACTTAAATAGGGATAAGCAATAAATGCTGGCCTAGCCAGCAACTGGCAACTTCCATTCCACGAAAATATTTAAAAAGGCTTCAGAGTGACACAGCAATTAATCTTAGAGCCAAGTTTTTCAGTTTACGGATTTACAGTTGTAAATGTATTTAAATCCAGCTGCCCGTGGGGTCAGAACATGGTCATGAATAGATATGGTTAAATGCATTGCATGATAAAAGTCAATTTCTGAGGCACTTAACTGTCTTCAGCTATCACAGTGAAGATAGCACTATGCCAGTACATTGTCAAGCCGACAAACCATATTGTTATCGTAGATGGAGAAGTCAAATGTGACCTAGCTGGTCTAATAATGTTCATACTGAATTGATTGTACATTTGACACAATAAGCTCAGTATTAGATTGATAAAACATGTGCTAAAACATGAGTTCACCATAAATTGAGTTTTCTTCTCAACCATGAGATCCTAACCACATGTCCTCCTACTCTAGGCTCGATTTAAACATAATTATGTCACAGCTTAATGCATGGAATTATTTTAAGAGGTAGACTGATTGCTAACAGTCATGCATGTGCTGGTCATATGGGACTTAACCTTTGATACTCAATAACCTTGGTTTGTGACCTTGATGCAGTAATAAAGCAATGGGATATCAAATGTTTGTGCTAAGATCTGAGAGCATGCATGTGGTTCAATGACATTGGTCATCCATATTTCTTGTTATTCCACATTTCAACTTTGTTTTAAAATAATGCATTTTCAGGGCTAAGTGAGAGGACAAACAAATGCACTAAGATGAAAGACCATAGGAATAATTTTGTGACGTTTCTAACATTCGCTGTAATATGTCCTAATTATACGATTGCAAAGTTATGTAAATATTATACTTAAATATTTTCTGGGTGCTCCAACTTATTTTAGGATGGACTGTACCTGTTCTGTAAGTATATCTTACATGTTATGTATTTTAAAATTGGTGGTGGCAGTAATATTGGATGTGGTTAGAATTCTCACTCTAGTTAATAATCTTTTAATATATTTGGTTGTCTTGCTTGAATGTACTTGCTCTGAAATGCTGAATGCAATTACAAGGAAAGTAATGAACTTGCTAAATTTCCATTCACTTCATTACAAGCAACAAAGAAATCATTTAATAACTAGCTTAATGACATTTTCACCAAAAGAGACAAAGGCATGAGTCTGTGCGAGAAAAGCTTAATAACTGATCTATTCCTCCAAGTTTAGCTCATTGATTGGGAATGAAAAGTGACATCAATGTTTTACTCTATGACAGGAAAGGTACAGAAAGGAGCAAGAAAAACTCCGCCAGGAATGGGAAAAAGCACAAAGAGAGGTTGAGGAAGAGGAACGTAGATACCATGAAGAGGTAAGCAAGGAATCAATCCACTGTTTTGTGGTCTAATACTCAACTTCAGTTTTGAAATCACTTTGCTGTCACTAAAATTTCAGTCTCTTTATATAATCCCACTGACAATGTGATTAATTCCTCTGTAAACAAATATTATTTGGTACTGCACGAGCAGAAAGGTCCAAGGTTTTATCCTTCCTTTGGACCTAGGGTACAAGGCTAGGGAACAAAAACAGAAATTGCTGGAGGAACTTAGCAGGTCTGGCAGCATTTGTGAAGAGAAAGCAGAGTTAACGTTTCAGGTCCAGTGACTCTTCTTCAGAACTGATTGTGACTAGGAAAAGGTTTTTATAAATGTTAAATATTGGGGTGATGGTGATGGGGTTAGGGGATAGAACAAATCAACAAGGGGTGGCAATAGAGCCCAGAGAGCGAAGACAGTAGTTGGGCAGACAAAGGAATGGATAATGATGAGCTGGAGAGAAAGAAAAGCTGCTAATGGGAATCATTAATGGATGAAATTGGCCGTGGTGAAAGCCTGGTGTGTGGGAGTGGGGCAAGGACATGGAAGAAGGTGCTCAAGCCCTAACATTTTTGGTCTTGATATTGAGTCCAGAAGGCTGCAGAGTTTGCATGCGAAAAATCAGGTGCTGTCACTCCAGCTTGCACTAAGCTTCGCTGGAGCACTGCAGCAAGCCCAAGACAGAGATGTTGGCCAGGGAACTTGGTGGTATGTTGAAGCAGCAGACAACTGGAAGCTCAGGGTCATTTCTGCAGACAGAACATAGGTGTTCTGCAAAGTGGTTACCCTGTCTGCATTTTGTCTCCCAGTGTAGAGGAGACCACATTGTGAGCAGCAAATACAGTGGACTACATTGAGTGAAGTGCAGGTAAATTGCTGCTTCACCTGGAAGGTGTGTCTGAGACCTTGGATAGTGAGGAGGGAGGAAGAAAATGGGCAAATGTTGCACCTTCTGTGATTGAATAGGAAGGTGCCTTGGGGAGGTGTTGGGAGTAAAGAGGAGTGAACCAGGGTGCCCAGAAGGATTGGTCCCTGTGGAAGGCTGACAAGGAAGGGGAGGGGAATATGTGTCTGGTGGTGGTATACCACTGAAGGTGGTGGAAATGGCAGCTAATGATTCTCTGGATGTGGATGCTGGGGGGCTGGAAAGTGAGGACCAGGGGTATCCTATTGGTGTTATGGGCGAGAAGAGAAGGGGTGAGGGCAGAAGTGCAGGAAATGGGTTGGACATGACTGAGGGTCAGACAAGACTAGGGTATTTATCTTTGCTGACAGTAACAAAGGGAAAGGGACAGACAGATTACCTTGTCTTCATTGTTTCCTGAGCATCCGAGTAGGAGTGTGAGCTCTAAAGTGCCATAACATAAACAATGTTTAAAAAAGCATATGACCCATTTATGGTCATTTCTAAAATGAGGGTTTGATTATGTTTCAATGTGACATACCTCACAGTCAAATAGTCGACTGACACTTATTACTAATCTGTATGTCAGAAATAGATACTCAACAAATGAACTGGAAAGTAGATAATTTGCTTGAACCTTTCTCCAGCACAAATCATTACCTTCAAAACAAAAGAGAGAAAAAGTTTCTCATAACTTTCAGCAGTCTAATGATTGATTTTTTTTTTAATCCTATGCTATGGGTAAGGTCATTACTGAGGCCAACATTTCTTTGCACATCCCTAATTGAACTTCAACAAATGGTGGAGAGCTGGCTACAACTGAGAGGCTTGTTAGGCCATTTCACGGGGCAGTTATGAGTCAACCATATTGCTGTGGGTCTGGACTCACATGTAGGCTAGACCACCAAAGGACAGCAAATTTCCTCCTCTGAAAGAGTTTTATAACTATACAGTAATTTCATGATCGTTATCAATCTATTCCAAATGTATTAATTTATTGAGCAAAATTTCCACGGCTACCCTAGTGGATTTGAAGTCATGTCTCTGGTCCATCCATCAGCATCTCAGGGTTACTGAGTCCAGTAACATTAACACCTGCTTTTGTCCCCAGAATTAAAAATGAAGGAGCCGTTTGCGTATTGATAATGCCCCAGATTTTGAAGTCAGCAAAATCTGACACCAGAACAGGGATGGCAGCATACATGGAAAACAGCCAATCATATCAAGCCATTCTCACCAATAGTAGACCAGGAAGTTAAAAGCTTTTAAAATTTTAACTTTTAATTTAAATGTTCAGACTATGAGGAAATTTTTTTTCATTAATTCACAGGATGTAGACGTCACTGGTCTAAATTTAAATAGAACTTAAATTAGCAATAGAAATAAACATTAACAAAATATTATTTTAATTTTTTTGTAAAAATACTTTTATCATATTGGAGTGATTTCACATCCCATAGATATATAATTAGTTTTTCAGGGTCACGAGGATGTTTAGAAGTCTTTAGGAAGTTAAGGTATCATTAAAACCCCGGTCACATTTTATTCAATAAGGTGTAACTTCTTCAAAAATTTTTATTGTGACTTGCAACTTAGAGTCTTAGAGTTGTACATCACGGAAACAGACTCTTCGGTCCAACTCATCTATGCTGACCAGATATTCTGGATAAATTTAGTCCCGTTTGCCAGCATTTGGCCCATATTCCTCTAAACCCGTCCTATTCATATACCCATGCAGATGCCTTTTAAATGTTGTTATTGTACCAGCCTCCGGCATTTCCTCTGGCAGCTCATTCCATACACTCACCAGCCTCTGTATGAAAAAGCTGCCCTTGGGTCTATTTTATATCTTTCCCCTCTCACTTAAACCTATGCCCTCTAGTTTTGGACTCCCCCACCCCGAAGAAAATACCTTGTCTATTCTCCCTATCCATGCCCCTCATGATTTTATAAACCTCCATAAGGTCACCCCTCAGCCTCCGATGCTCCAGGGAAAATTACCCCAGCCTATTCAGCCTCTCCCTATAGCTCAAACCCTCCAACCCCAGCAACATTATCATAAATCTTTTCTGAACCCTTTCTAGTTCCACAACATCCTTCCTATAGGATGTAGACCAGAATTGCTCGCAATATGCTAAAAGTGGCCGAACCAATATCCTGTACAGTCGCATTGTGACCTCTCAACTCCGATACTCAAAGCACTGACCAATGAAGGCAAGTGTACAAAACGCCTTCTTCACTATCCTGTCTACCTGCGACTCTACTTTCAAAGAACTAGGAACCTGCACCCCAAGGTCTCTTTGTTTAGCAACACTCCCCAGGACCTAACCATTAAGTGTATAAGTCCTGCCCTGATTTGCCTTTCCAAAATGTATTTAAGAGTGAGAATTTTTGTAAGTGCATTGGTTTTCCATTGGTTGCAGTCTGAGAGGGTCTCTGGGAAAACATAGAATCGTTATTGGTTTGCACAATATTCTGCATCTTCCGGAATTGCTGTCTCTTTTGGTGCAATCATGACAGGGAGCATGGATAATTTTACCAGAGTTATCATCACAATCTCTTGGCCAATATTTTGTCTGGATATATAATGTTATCCCTTTATTAAATGTGATAGTGACATCTACTGATGAGCACAAGCACTACAAAATCTGGTTATCCAATTAATTGCACCATGATCAATGGAGAAATTTTAATTTAATGACAACCTGGAATAAAAAGTTAGCCCAGTAGTGATTGTGTAATGAAAATAATTTGCTTTTAAAAACCCATCAGGCTCACCCATTTCCTTTAGGGAAGGAAACCTGTCATATTAAGCTGGTCTGGCTTGCATGTGACTTCAGACCCTTAACTGCGCTCTGGATAATTAGTGATGGGGAATAAATGCTGGTCTAGTTGGTGATGCCCATATCCCGTGAACAAAAAGAATTGCAAAGAAGCTTTAGAGTACTTATACACAACTGTGATTCACATCTTTCCAATTTTACATTTTCTAGGAATGTAAAATCATTCAGGAAACAGTGCCCCCCCTGACTCCACGATCACCAGCATTGTCTGTCCATCGTCCCAATGAGTGGATCTGCCCATCAAAAACTGAGGGAGACTCTCATCCTGAGCTCATTGAGGGTTCCTCCATGCACCTGGAGAACAAGAATGTCCAATTGCAGAAAGATGCAGTAAGCTGGTTTTGCTTAGAGTGTGTGGAAACATTTAATTCTGTAAATGTAACACTGACTATTTTAGTGTTACGGTTATCAGAAATACTAGATTCCTCATTTGATTCTAGCTCTATGCATGACGTTTGCTTAATTAATTAATAATATTGTCTTAATCTTAAAGACAAATTGTTTAAACTTTTAATAGATTTCTAGGAAAAATAACTAAGAAGACCATATTATCTCAGTGTGTACATGTAGCAGCAAGAAGAAATGTCCTCTCAGACACACAAATAAAAGGAAAGTAGTTGTGACAAGGCGCTGTCTTCTTAGTGGATCCCAGAATATATTTATCTGCATTTATCATTTCTTAATTAATGATCATAAAAGCTGAGATATAAATAAGTAAGCGATATGGACCAGGGGAAGCAGAATATTCAAGAACCACTTGTTTTTACAATAATCTAGCAGTTCGTAATCATTTTTATGAATGGTGCCAGGTTTGGTAATGTTGCTTGTACAATTTAACATGTGGGATTTGAAATCACAACTGCTGGATTTGTTTATCAATTCTTTAATGGGACATGGCTGCCACTGGCTGGTCAGCATGTCAGCTGCCCATCCCTAGTTGCTCCTGAGAAGGTGGTGGTGAATTGCCTTCTTGAACTGCTGCAGCCCCTGTGCTGTAAATGGTCCCACAATGCCAGTTGGGAGGGAATGCCAGGATTTTGATCCAGCCACAGTGAAGGATCGATGATATATTTTCAATTCAGAGTGGTGAGTGGCTTGGTGGGGAACTTGCAGCTTGTGGTGTTCCCATATATCTGCTCTATTTGTCTTCCAGATGGAAGTGGTTGTGGGTTTGGAGAGTGCTATTTAAGGAGGGTTGCTGAATTTCTACAGTGCATCGTGTACATAATGCACACTGCTGCTACTCAGTGTTGGAAGGAGTGAATATTAGTGAATGTGTTCAATCAGCAGGCTGCATTATCCTGGATGGTGTAAAGTTTCTTGTGTTGTTGGAATTGCCCTCATCCAGACAAGTGGGGAGTAATCGAACACACTCCTGACTTGTGCCTTGTATGTGGTGGACAGCCTCTAGCGAAGTCAGGAGGTGAGTTACTAAATAGGATGAACATTACCCTTTATTTGCCTATCATTTAAACATCTATATGGTATAGTACCAACAGTTATCCTGTTTAGAATATTCCTTGGATAGGAATTTAATTACTGCAGGATTCTGAGTGTCTGATCTGCTTTTGTAGCCTCTGTATTTAAGTGGCTAGTTCAGTTCAATTTCTGGTCAATATAAACCCCCCGGATGTTGATAGTAGGGGATTCAGTCGTGATGACGCTATTCAATGTCAAGAGATGATGGTTAGCTTCTCTCCTGTTGAAGATTATGATTGCCTGGCATATTATGAATATTACTCACTACTTGTCAGCCATAGCCTGGACATCATCCATATTTTTGCTACACTTGGACATGGACTGCCTCAGTATCCAATGAATTGTGAATGATGCTGAATATTGTGTAATCATTGGTGAACATCCCCATTTCTGACGTTATGAAGGAGGGAAGGTCATTCATGTAGCAGCTAAAGATGGTTGGGCCTAGGACACTACCCTAAGGAACTCCTGCAGAGACACCGTGGAGTTGACCTCAACAATCACAACCATCTTTCTTTTTGCCAGCTCCAACCAGCGGAGAGTTTTCCTCCTATTCCCATTGACTCCAGTTTTGCTAGAGTTCCTTGATGCCGCATTCAGTCAAACGTAGCCTTATTGGGACATCCCATGGCCAGATGTGGCACATGATGGCTACCTGTGGGCTTTTAGTTAGCATAAATATGGCAGAGAAGATTTTTAGCTGCAGTAACATAATTAGCTTGCCTGGTTCAGCATTACAGTGAGATCATATGCTAGGACAATAATAGCTTTGAGAACAAGATAATTCCAAGGTAATGGGGTCTAGGCAGAACAAAGAATCTTACAAATTAATATACAGGGAGTTCTGTACAAACCACAGCTGCAGATGTCTGTAAGAGACAGTCTGATAAGAGATGTCTGGGAACAAACATGCTGAAGTTTGTAGTTTAGCAAGAATTAAAAGAAAAGTATGATCCCACAGTAACCGAGACAAGTGATAAGTTAAAAGGAGAACAAAATTATGTCTTGTAAAACCCTAGGAGTTCAGACAAGTTCATTGAACTGTGAAAGTGATTGAGTTTAAGCCTTATTAATGGAATAGATGTTGTCTTATTAAGTAAAAGAGTTAATGTAGAAATATTTAGAGTAGAGTCAGCAAATTTCATCTTCGAAGACAGCATGTGACTAGAATGAGTTACATCGCAGTTGCAGGATGGAGGGCCAGTGTTTACCTGACCTTCCATGGTCAGGTGGGACAGAAGCTGTTCACAACTCATTGGCTGAAGAATTCTAACATTAGGTGTAACTGTATAATTTCATAGATATCTAACCTTATGTTTGAACTGAAATTATGAATTTTATAGCAATTAGTAGGAATTAGTATCTTTTTGTATCTCCTGTGATTAGAATAGTAGGAAATATAGATGAATAACAGAATTTCATAAGGATAGCAATGAATAACAGAATTTGAACAGTCCTTAGAGATAAGCAAGTCTGGCAAATATCTGAGAAAGAGTCTGACCATTAACATTGGAATGTAAATTAATAGGTTACATTATAAGGTCCCATGGCCTGATGATAATGATCTGGTAAACATCATGAGATCATGGGGAACCTAGGGCTGTCCATAGAGATGTCCATCATTGGTCATGTGTTTTACAGGACTGGATGTATAGACTGGGGGGATATGGCTAATAATAACATTTAATGTTGCATGCAAATATTGTAGTGCAAATGTATAAATATGCAGTACTCAATTGGAAGGGCCAGAGTATTCAGTGAACACTGTACCAGGAACCTCTCCAGACTTCTATCTGAGATCTTTCCCCAACAGGTCTTGATGTCAATGGCTGTCAGTTTCACCTCACCTCTGGAATTTAGCTCTTTTGTCCCAGTTTGAACCAAGGCTGTAATAAGGGCAAGAATTGAATGGCCCTGCCAGAACCCAAACTCAGTATCAGTGAGTAGGTTGTTGCTAAGCACTGTCAATGACACCTTCCATCACTTTACTGATGATTGAGAGTAGACTGATGGAGTAGTAATTGTCCAGGTTGGATTTGTTCTGCTTTTTGAACCTCTGCAGTTTTCCACATTGTCAGATAGATGCCAGTGTTGTAACTGTACTGGAAGAGCTTGGCTAGGGGAGCAGTAAGTTCTGGAGCACAAGTCTTCAGTACTATTGCTACAATGTTGTCAGGGCCTGTAGCCTTTGCGTATCCAATGCTTTAACTATTTCTTGATATCATGTAGGGTAATGCTGCGGACTTCCTGGAGGAGGCTGAGATGGATCATCCACTTGACACTTCTGGCTGAAGTTTGCTGTGAATGCTTTAGTCTTGTCTCTTGCAATAATGTGCTGGGTTCTGTCTTGTGGAGCCTTCTTATCCAGTGTGGTGATCAATAGTCCACCACCAGTCATGATTAGATGTGGCAGGACTGCAGAATTTAAATGTGATCTGCGAGTTGTGGAATCACTTAGCTGTACCATCTGCTGTTTGTGCTATTTAACATGCAAACAGCTCTACTTTGAGCTTCATAAGGTCATTTGTAGATATGCTTGCCCTCGTCTACTCTTGAACAATGATCGATCCCTAGGCTTGACGGTAATGGTAGAGTGGGCGACATACTGGGTTGTGAATTTGCAGACTGTATTGGAGTATGATTCTGTTGCTGATGTCCTATGTGCTTCATGGATACCCAGTGTTGAATTGCTAGATCTGTTCGATGTCTGTCACATTTAGCATGATGATAATGCTGCACAACACGAGGGACGGTATACAGAATGTGAAGGCAGATTGCTAATCCAGTGACTATAAGTTAACATAACAGGTAGTATCGGTGAACAAATACTGAACATAATTGGAGAACATTTCTCTATCCAGTATTTCAGGAAAAACATTAACCTATTTAAGATACTAGGTGGCTAAATTGTGCATTGCTTTGGTGATGTGTTGAAGAAACACTGAGCTAGCAACAGATGGATCCATTCACTGGCAGTAGGAATGTAAGAATCTGGAAGCTAAATTTAGAATATTTCCATGTGAAAAAATGTAGTCAGTGTCATATGTTCATCAGATTATGCTGCATTCCTTCAATTACTAGTTCAGTTGACTAGTCAAGAGATGCCGTGATTTTGAATTTGAGTCCTGAAAAGCATAAACCTGGTGTTTTTTGGATGACCAGTAAAATTTTATCTCTCCTGGTATTCCTGTTTTTTTTAAGACAAGTTTTTATTAAGTTAAGACAAGTCAAGGCACTCAGTTCAAGAGCCATTAGGGATGGACAAGAAATGGTGACCTTGCCAACAAACCCACGTCCTATGAAATAATATAGTTTTAAAAATTAATAAGACAACATTTTTTTCTTTTAAAAATGTACCTATTGCTTAATTTTGACCATTGTATTTTACTACATGCATCAAAAGAACATATGACAAACTTCCATAATATTGGCAGTGGGGAATATTCCCACTGTTTTGAAGGAGATGAATTTCCTCAGGGTTTCTCCTGCTCCATTGTTCTCACTTTAGCGGAAGTCCTTCATGCTTCATGCTTACATGCTTCAATGGAATTTCCACCAAAGTTACAGCAATGTTGTAAAAACCCAGTCGCAATGTCTCCATTGCATTTGCATTTTAATATAGATGCAGCATTTCTTATTTACCTGTAAAAGGCGAATTATTCCTCTGCTCTAAGAATCTGAGGTACTGCGTGTGTGTAAAAGGACTTATGTCATAGTGTAGTCAAATCATATGAATCTGGAGTCTGAGTCTGTAAGGCTTCAGTGGCACATTATCTATTACCATGCCTTGTAAATAGTTAATGTTTAATAAGCTTGGTAATGTTCACTCACAAGAGTGTCGGCCTCACGTTTCCACATTGTAGCTGTAGACCCACAAGACCAGAGGCAAGCGACAGTAAGAGCTCAAATTGAAGCCCAGCGACAGTGTAGTGTTACAGGGTAAACCATGATATCAGCCTAGCAATCCAAACCCAAAAGCTGGGGATTTATCTGAAGAGAAGCTCAGAGGTGACAGGAAGTACTAAGTGATGGACCAAGACGCTGAACCGTCAAGAAGGAAATTCCTGCATGTTACTGAAGCTAGCCCACCACAGAGAACACAGCAAGTAATAAGAAAATTCAATCAGCCAGAGTGAATAAAGCATTACAGTAAATTAAAATTACAGAGATGTGGAAGAATCTAGCACTTAGAAAATTCATCAACAGCAAACTCATGAAGAAACAGGGCACTGTTGATGGCATTAAGGAACCCACCAGTGGAATCTCAATCCAACCCAATTACATAGACGGTCATGAGTGCCAAGTGGACTGTGTCACGGCTTTATCAGCAACACAGAGAATTAAATACAGACCACAGCAGGTATCCCTACAGGAGAGGACACAGAGAAGTCAGATGAGCTCTTCCCAAAGAAATGTGGCAGAGTCAGTGCAAGATTTCATTTCCCCTGATTGTGCTGACTCTCAAGGTGAATTCTGCTATTCAGAAATCACAGGAAAATCATAAGAAAACTAATTTTAAATCTTATATAGGTTTGGATGTATCAATTATTTTGGAGGCTACATCATGGTTCAGGCTCAAAAAATTCTCAGATCATTCCACATTCACCTTTAGGACAAGATCAGAGTAAAAAGGCAGATGAATCCTACCCATGCTACAATGGAAGAGAGATCACAGAGATCTTGTATGTAATTTCTTTAGCAAGTGGAGCTGCGTCTGTAGCTTTAAAAACTCTTCAGTTATCAGACACCAGACATACTGAAGCCAGTGCTCCAGGAATCACTGTCCACTGCAGGCACTCCAGCACTATAACTGCATACAGGTAATGTAGACTATCCATTTCTCTCAAAAACAAAGTTACAAATGGTGGGCAAAAAAAAAATGTCAAACAAGGAGGTGGCCAGCCACCAGAGGGCATTCCAGACCTGAGGTTGATCTTTTGGGGTATAGCCCCAAAGAAGAACCCCACCATTTGGCTTGCTCAATTAGTGGAGGCTGGGACTTTGGACTTCACCGTTCTCTTGGATTTGGTGCCACCATTCCTGAAGGAGAATCATCCTTTTCTTGAAGAAGTTAAAGTTGTCTACTTATATCACAGAACTTGACAATAAGGTGCTATGTCAGTAATGCAATAACAGTTAGTCTTTGAGTTGAGGAAAGACTGCCTGTTCTCAGGCCTTTGATTAGTTGAGCTATATATTTGACAAATCTGTAAGTTCAGGACAACCAGAAACCACTAGAGTAGGCAAACTGAAAACATGTCCCTCTTCCCCTCTTTGTGTGGGTGAGGAGAAACCAAATAGCTTAAAAATAAACTTGAACAAGAAAAGACAGTACAATGGATCAGCAAGCATTTGAAGAAAAACCACCAGTTTACAGGTGTCACATCATCATTGCTGAAATCAACGTGTAATTGTGAAAGACAATTTGAGCTACCATTGTGAAGTGGAAGTTTGATCTTTGATCCCTGTTTATATTTTTGTTTCACACACAATGTCTGTGAAAAATCTGTGATTGTTCTAATTATGAATGAGGGTGCATGCATTTGGGTTTTATTATCAAGGGATAGAGTTTAAGTTGTATAGTAGTAGTGTAGAATTCTTTTCTTTCTCTGCCATGAAGTATTTCAAGAGGCTGGTCATGGCTGGTCATGGCTCACATCAACTCCAGTGTCCCAACCTGACTCGATGCCCTACAGTTTACTTCCGACATAACAGGTTCTCAGAGGATGCTATATCCCTAGCCCACACTCATCCCTGCAATGTCTGGACAACAAAGACACCTACGTCAGAATCCTGCTTGTTGACTACAGCTCCACCTTCAACACCATTATCCCCTCCAGACTGTTCTCAAAACAGCGTGACCTTGGTGTCAACTCTGCCCTCTGCAACAGGATCCTCAGCTTCCTGACTCATAGGCCACAATCAGTGAGGATAAACTCCACAATAACACTCAGCCCCCAACTGTACTCGCTGTACACCTATGACTGTGTTGCTGAATTCCAAACAAACGCCATCTACAAGTTCGCTGACAACACCATTGTAGTGGGACAAATATCTAACAATGATGAGTCAAAATACAGAAGGGAGATAGAGGACTTGGTGATGTGGTGCAATGATAACAATTTGTCCCTCAACATTGGCAAAGCTAAAGAACTGATCATCGACTTCAGAAAGAAAGGAGGAGAACACGCCCCCATCTCTATCAACGGAACTGAGGTTGAGAGAGTGAAGAGCATCCAGTTCTTTGGAGTGACAATAACAGATGACCTGTCCTGGACTTCCCACGTAAATGTGACAGTCAAGAAGGCACAATAACGCCTATTCTTCATCAGGTGGCTCAGGAAATTTTGCAGGTCCATAAGGTCCCTCATCAACTTCTACAGATGCACCACTGAAAGCTACTGTCTGGGTGTATAACAGCCTGGTATGGCAACTGCTCTACCCAGGACCATAAGAAACTACAGAAGGTTGTGTGCACAGCCCAGACCATCACAGAAGCCAACCTTCCATCCATTGACCCTATTTACATGGCTCGCTGTCGCAGAAAGGCAGCCAACATTATCAAAGACCCATCGCACCCTGGTAATGACCTCCTTCAACCTCTCCCATCAGGCAGAAGATGCAGAAACCTGAATACACACATGAGCAAGTTCAGGAACAACTTCTTTCTGTCCATTATCAGAGTGGTGAGTGGACTCTAGCCTCAAATAATGAACCTGTATGCGTCTAAGTCTTTTTGATCTGTACGTCCTTTGCTTGCTGTGATCTGCCTGTGTAGCTCGTAAGCAAAGCTTTTCATTCTATTTTGGTACACATGACGATAAATCAATCAATCAATTTTGTTTCAAACTTTAAAGAGTGTATTGCTGCCAAGTGAACAATATTAAAACAAAGAGATAACAAGGTGTAGAGCTGAATGAACACAGCAGGCCAAGCAGCATCAGAGGAGCAGGAAAGCTGACGTTTCGGGCCTAGACCCTTCTTCAGAAAAATTTTTCTGAAGAAGGGTC